GGGATGGGAGTGTCAGAGACAGTGCGATTGGTACAAGGCAGAGCAGAGTTTAAGGCTGTTGTACATAGGGTCACTATGAGATGCAAATGACTTGACGGCACATAACAACAACAGTGATGAATTATCTTATAAATACTCATATTACAATAAATCTTTTATTTAAATTCTTTAAAATGTAATTTCTGAGTCAGAGATTATGTGCATTAGTCATTTTTAAAGATATTGCCAAATTGGCCTTTATGGAGATTGTGCCAGTTTACACACTCACTAGTAATTGTTGAAAGTGTCCCTTTTCCTCTATTCTTGTCACTTATTTAGGTCTTCTAGTATAACTCCTGAAAAGTGAGGTTTTAATTGTCATTTCTTTAAAATTAAATCTAAGTTCTGGTCAGTAAAATTTAGATGAAAATGTATTGTGACAACTTTTGGAAATATTCCAATTCATGTGGACCCATTACTGTTTCTTTTCCTCTTTCCTTTCCTATTTGCCTTTCTTCCTTGACGTCACATTCTTGACTTCTTTACTTCTTATTTCTCTGCCTAGAGCATGGATATCACCATTAGACAGACATGAGAATTAGAAAATAGATGTTGTTGTTATGTACCGTCACTCTGAAGGTTGACATAAGTTGTTTTTAGCATGGGCTTCTGTGCAGGGAGAATTGCTAGGAATCACTTGTCCCTTTGTCCATTGGCATATGTTAGGTTAACAGATTAGATGTCGTTTGGAAAGCCTGGACACCCTGGAATGAGAGGAATTACTGTGGTTTCTCAGTGTACAAAGTATTTGAGAAGGGACCTTTAAAAGTTGGGGCAGTCCCTAATGAGATTACATGCCCAGAAGGAAAAGAGAGTCTTCACCTAAATGGCCATTAGTTTTAGAATAATGTTTGCCTTTCCATTTTTAGGCTGTTAAATTCATTAAAGTGGATTTTGGGTTCCTGAAAGACTTACTTCAATTGCAATTCGAGGATCGAATTAAAGAGGAGGCTTTTAAACTCTCCACCACTCTGAATGACAGGATCATATCAATTGAGAAATATCGTAAACAGGTAGAAGTTTTCTTATTCCCTATGCTTTGTAAGGGGTTGATCTTGGACTTAGATGTGTGTGTAGAGCAGACTCAATGACAATTACTATAATTCTTTTTTAAGACAATTTAATTTGTACATGTTATTTCTCATAAAATCTCAAAAGCACATACATATTGCTTTATTATGGGCATATGCCTTTTAAAGTGCAAACTCATTTAATCTTCATAATAATAATAGGTACAGTTATTATCTCCAGTTTATAGATGAGAATAAGACAACTCACTAACTTGCTCTAGGTCACCTGTTAAAAAACAGTGGAACTTAGTTTCCAAATGCATATAGTTTGGCTTGAGTTGCATTTTTAAGCACAAGTTTATATGGTATTCTTTGTGTTTCTTCGGTTCTTTAAAAACCAAGATGTGAAAACTCTGTTGCTGAAGAAATTCCCTAAAATCTTTGGTCAAGTTAGAACACTTGTCTGTCATCAAGAAGAGGTATTGCTCTTACTTCTCTACTTTGAAACCAAATCTTTTGTTGATTACGTCATACTTAGCACCAAGCTAAGCCGTTAAGTACATCTCTTCTTTAAGTCATTCAGCTATTATAAAATTGAAACTGGACTATCTCTGATAAAGAAACTGAGTTTGTCAAGACTAAGAAACTTGTTTATGGTCAGATAGGAGGTGGTACAATGATATTTTAAGTCCAATTCTGTCTGACGTTGATGTCTATTTGTTGTTTACAGTCCCTGTCAGAATCAGAATTGGTATCAGAGTCACAGGTATTTTTAACACACATTGCTTTCCCAAGATGACAGCCTAAAATGTTTTCATCAGTCAGAATGTGACTTTGGGCTATGAATTAGTCACTCAAATTTTCTTTTTTTTTTACTAAAGCATATCTTAGTCAAAATGTACAAAGACAAGTAGAAACTTAGGATTAAATAGTGCTTGTATGCAGACTGTACACAGTAGATATGTAAAACAAAAAGTGTTCAAATTCTCTGTACTTATTTTATCCATAAAATATCTTTATTGCTTTTAGTTAACTACAAAGTAAAAACTAAATGTGTTGTAATATATATGGTATAGGACAAATTATAAATAGAACATTTCAAGAGGTTGTAGTGATTTGAAAGAGAGTTTTAAACTAAAATCCCCTCATCCTAAATGTGATTCATGTTTGGAACCATGTTGTGGTGTTGATTGTATTTATTTTTGGTTTGCAGATTGAGGAGCAGATGAGAAAATGCTTCCATCAGCAGTTAGCGGATGCCATAGCTATTACCAAAGGAATGTATGCGGTGGGTTTTCAGTGCTGTCACTGATAAAATTTCCTATGAGTGCACACTGTTAGTTCTCAGGCTGTGTTTTCAGCTTTAGAGGTTTTGTATTTTTAGATAAAGTTAAGTCTTAGATCAGTTTTAGATATATAGAACAAGAACTTCCATACAATCCCTGTTATCTACACGCTTCTTTCTTTGTTGTTGTTAATGTCATTCACTTTTTTTAAAAAAAATCCTCACAAATAGTAGTATATTTTTTATAAATAGTAAATTTTAATGTGCATTAACTCCTTTTTGTATGTGTATATTTAACATTTTCCTTCACTAGCATTATGTTTCATATAATCATTCCCATTTATTGTGGGGTTTTTTGGTGTTTTGTTGTTGTTGTTTTTTCATTAATTTCAACGAACATCTACAGAGATTTTGAATCTCCATTCATTCATTGTTGCACTTTTCTCCCCGCCCCCCCACCCCCAGTTCACTCTTCTCCTCGAAAAGCAAAGGAAAAACTCCTTCATTGGTATACAGTCCCCCACGCACAACCCACCCCCACCCCAAGTATACTCCACTCTGCAACCTTCAGTCTGGACTTTTATGATAATCATAATGCCCTAAAATATATTACTTTTAAACTATTCTCTCCCTCATCAGTTTCAATGCAGTAAACATAATTAATCCAGTTTTTCTCAGTCTTACCCCCACCGTGATGTCAGCCTCATTCTACAACAGTGGCACCATAGAGTATTTGTCCTTTTGTGACAGAGATATTTCACTCAGCATAATGTCCTCCAGGCTTACCCATTTTAAATAATATTGCATGAGTTACTTGTTTTTCAATGCAGTATAATATTCCATTGTGTGAATATACCGCAGCGTCTCTATCCATTCATTTGTTGATGGGCACTTAGGTTGTTTCCAGCTCCTTGCTATTGTGAACAAAGCCACGATAAACATGAGTGTGCATATATCTGCTTGGATGTCAGTTATGGTCTCTTTAGGGTATGTTCCCAGTAGTAGAATTGCTGGGTCAAATGGTATCTCTATTTGCAACTTTTTGAGAAATCGCCATACCACTTTCCACAGTGGTTGCACCATTCTACACTCCCACCAACAGTGAATAAGGGTTCCAGTTTCTCCACAACCTCACCAGCATTTGTTGCTTACTGTTCTGTTAAATTTTGCTAATCTTACTGGGGTGAGATGATATCTCATAGTTGTCTTGATTAGTATCTCTCTTAGAGCTAGGGATTTTGAACATTTCTTCATGTGCTTGTTGGCCATCTGAATGTCTTCTTTGGTGAAGTGTTTGTTCATATCCTGTGCCCATTTTTCAATTGGATTATTTACCTTTATCTTGTTGTGGTGCCCAAGTATTTTATAAATCCTAGGTATAAGTCCCTTATCTGATATGTAATTACCAAACACTTTTTCCCAGTCTATGGCTTCCCTTTTTACCCTGTTGGAGAAGTTTTTAGATGTGCACAGGGATTTGATTCTTAGAAGGTTTTATAACATCAATCACCATTGTACCATGCTCACCATTACCCTGTCCTTCCAGGTCCCCACCACATCTTTCCCTTTTCCTTTATGCTTCCTCCACCCACCCACCAAATTCTGCAACACTGATTTCCAGCCTACTCATCCTCACCCCACTGCTCCTACACTTTCCCCACAAGAACCTTCATACAGCTTTTACTAGTTATCTTTCTATTTTTACAATAAAGGTCCTATGAAGTAATTGACCTTTTGAGACTGAATTTGTTCACTCAGCATAATGATTTATCCTGTGCCAACCTCGCCGTCTCAAACACACTCATTCCCACCACTCCACTCACAGAATCAATCTGTCTCATTGAGGGTCTTCCTCTCCTGCGTCGTCCCTCCACTCTCACCAACATGATGTCCCCTCCAAGGACCAGTCCCTCCTTGCAACATGCCCAAATTATGTCAGATGAAGCTTCAGAATCTTTGACTCCAAGGAGCATTCTGGCTTCACCCTCTCCAGGACAAACCAGTTTGTTCTAGCAGTCCATGGTATATTCAACACTCTTCCCATTTACAAAGTAAAGTGTTTGAACTGAAAAAAGAGTTGTAGGAAACAATATTTTCTGATCCTTTCTTAAAGAAGTAGGAGGAAATCCAGTAGATGTAATGTCTTGGAACTCACAAAGAGAATTTCCCAAGAAGCAGAGAATTGTAAAAAATAAACAACACTGCCCAGAAATGAGTAAGCCGAGGGTAGAGAAGCATCTGTGTGCTACACTCTAGGGGCATCATTGGTCATCTCAACAAAGTATTTTATTGCAGCTATGGAGCTAAAAGTTGAATTGAAGTAGAGACTGTGAACCAAATAATAACATTATGGCTGGAATGGAGTGCCTAGGAATGGGTGGGTATAGATGATTAATGCCCTTGACTGCTAAATGAAAGATTAGAGGTTCAAATCCACCCAAAATCACCTTGGAAGAAATGCCTGACAATTACTTTCAAAAAATTTGTCCCTGAAAACCCTTCGAGACACATTTCTATTCAGACAATTTATACGCTCTCTATGAATAAGAATTGACTACTTCTACTAGAAAAAATATATCAGGAATAGCTGGAGGTAAAGTATAATGTCAAAGAATATTCTTTAGAGAGAGTTGATACTAGATTATACTTTCCTGCTGGTAGAAAGATCCAGTCCTGCAAGGTAAATTGATATAGATGACAGGAGTGCCTGAGAAGGCCAGAGCCGGTGATCTCAGCAAAGGTGGAAGAGTTGGTCTTTGAAAGAAACAAGGATCACTGAACAGAAGGGAAAGAAAAATGTATATCTAGCTATAGGCAGCTTATAAATTTCTTGGTCCACCTAAAGCTGATTTCTTTCTTCTCAAGGAATTACAGAGGTAGGATCATTGAATGAATCTAAAGAAAGAAGTCATAAGTAAGGGAAAGAAATTATTCTGCCATTTGAAAAAATATTTTTATCTTCCCACTTTGCGTTTTTGGCACATTGTTTATTGAGTAATATTTAAGTTGTGGATTATTAGCTTCTTTCACATAAATACCTCATTTCCATAAACTTGATATAAGCTTTCTGAATGTATAATAAGTTTATAATTTCTAAATTGTCTTTATTAAATATTTAATAGTAACAAATGAATATTTATAAAATTATATGCCATAAAGAATTGTAGTACAACAAACACTCATAGAACAACTGCAAAATTTATACAAAAGAACATGACTGTTGCATTTATAACCCTTTTATAACTCTCCTTCCCCAGAAGTAATCATAATCATCAAATTTCTATTTTGTCAATCCTCCTTTTTTATTATTTGCCTTTAAAACATCTTTTTCTGAACAAAATGCTGTTAAATTTTGTATCTTTAAACATTTTCAATCTATATGCGGAACAGAACATTCAGGAATCAGGGCTTTATGAGGAGGAATGTGACATCAGAATTCGAGAAAGACTCATCAGCAACCTGCGTTATGCAGATGACACAACCCGGCTTACTGAAACTGAGGAGACCTAGAGCATTTTCTGCAGAAGGTCAAGGCCTTCAATATAAATTGAAGCTCAACATCAAGAAGACAAAGTCTTACCACTAGGCTATTTAGCACCATCATGATAGATGGAGAGGAGATTGAGGTTGATACCAATTTCAGCTTGCTCAGGTCCACAGTCAATACTCTTGGCACTAGCAGTCAGGAAATCAAAAGATGGATTGCATTGGAAAAATCTGTTGTTACGACCTCTCCAGAGTGCTAAAGAGCAACAACGTCAGTCAGGAGACAAAGGTGCACCCGATCTAGGCCATGATCTTTGCAATTACTTGCTATGCATCAGAGAGCAGGACAATAACTAAGGATGACGAAAGAAGAATTGATGCCTTTGAGTTATGGTGCTGGAGTAGAGTTGAATATTCCATGGACTGCAAAAAGAACAAACAGATTTGTCCTGGAGTGGGTGAATCCAAGTTGCTCTTTAGAGGCAAGAATTTTGAATACTCAATATTTCAGACATGTTGCCAAGAGGGACCAGTCCTCGCAGAAGAACATCATTTTGGAAAGGAGGAGGGACAACTTAAGAGGGGAAGAACTTGAATGAGATGGATTGACATAGTAACTGAGATAATAGGTTTAAGTGTATTGGAGACAGTGAGACTGACTCAAGATAGGGCAGGGTTAAGAGCAATTGTGCATAGGATCACTATGAGTCATTGACAACTGACAACACATAAAAACAACAAACTTTTTATGTAAAACACTCCTTGCCATTCAGTTGGTTCTAACTCATGGAAATCTATGTGTTAAAAGTAGAACTGTTGCATAGCGTTTCCTTGACTATGCTCTTTTCTGCAGACCAACAGACCTTGTTTCTGTAGCACTACTGGGTGCATTTGGACTACCAACCTTTAAGTTCATCAAAACCTAAACTGTTTACACCACCTAAATAATGGTATATGTATTTATCTCCTTTACTTCTTTATAATTCTAAAGCTCATATTCTTCAAATTCATACTTGTTATGTTTACCAGAAATTTGTTTATTTTATGACTGTATAATATTCCATAGCAGAATTTTTCCTCAATATTCTTATAGATTGATAGTATAATACTCTTTTGCTGTTAGAAACTATTCTGCTCTGGAAATTCTTAATACTTTCAAGTGTGCATATATGCAAGGGTTATTTGAAGCTATATTCCAGAAAGTAGAATTGTTGAGTAGAGAATATGTGCACATTCAGATTTACTTAGTGGGGAAAAAAACCCCACAAACAGACAAACGAACAAAAATACACCATCAAAAAACCCCAAACCAACCCATTGCTATCCAGTAGATTCCAATGTATAATAGCCCAATAATAAAGTGTATACTCACCCGTAGCAATTCTATAGGAAAGAGTAGCATTGTCCTAGAAGGGGTATCAGAGGCTGAAATCTACAGATGTAGATTGCCTCACCTATGGGAAAGCTCATAGGTTCTAACTGCTGACTTTCCTAGTAACAGTCAAGTATTTAATCAA